CCGGGGATCGAGCCCACAACCTGGGCATGTACCCTTACCAGGAATCGAACCTTGATCTCCTGGATCATAGGTTGATGCTCAACCACTAAGACACACTGGCTGGGGTACATTGCCTTTCATTTTAATTGCAAATAATAGTAAAATCCAAGGGATTTCTTAAGTCTCCTCATAGGCAGTAAAGGCGTCTACCTTTTCATTGCTGAGGTAAATCCAAAAAATACCCTGTGTATTGTGACATTTTAGATATTAGAAAAATATTTTCCTCAAAGAAATAGTGAAAATGAAACTAAATTTCAGAATTTTATAGTTGTGTGTTAATAATTCTTGTACTTTTCTTTGTAGTTATCTTCATTGTGAACTTTTATCATTTTGATTTTTAATTTAAAAAGGAAATAACCCACCAGTATTTAAAAATAGCACCGCACCATGTCACTTTTGAAAGTCAGTAGAATTTATGCAAGTGGGTCCTGGGATTTCAAATCATTTTTGTTTTTATTTTTCTAAAGTTCATTAAAAGCATTCTTATGGTTCATGTTTTGATTTTTTTCTCTCATTATCGTTATGATTGGAACCTCTTTTAATTTAATTCTCACAGTTATTAGCATAACATGATCTGTTTCAGGATTGTCTTGGGGATCATCACAAAGAAGAACATATTAGAACATCTCGAGCAACTAAAGCAGCACGTCGAACCCTTGGTGATTAGATATATCAGATCTCCTCCTCATTAGACACCTTAGAAGTCAGGAGGCATGAAACTTGTGAACTGTTCAGTTCTGTCTTTCCCAGATACCTGCCAAACACATGCTGCCAACTACATTTCTATCATATAAAATATGTCTGTAAGATAAATTCAAATGTGTGTAAAATTCTATTCATGGGAAGTACGTAAAAGTTAACATCTCATCAAAATCATTAGTTGCAATTTAAGAATTGTAAAGAGTTTAGTACTTGACTGTGTAAATATTACTGGACATTTTTAAAGTAACACAATATATCTTGTCTACTTTAGCATTTACACCAGTCTCAGTGGATGCCAGACTGGTTAAAAACATCTATCCCATCACCCCACACCCTCCACCCCCTTTTTTAAATAAAAAAGTATCCTAATCTTGCGGTAGTCTTGTGGTAAACCTAAGCTCATAAATCATTATAACTGAGTTTAGCAATGTTAGAATTGCTGACAATTAAATGGATTTTTTTTATGGGCACACTAACTGGAGCATAATGTGTATGAGCATATACATGTGTGTGATCATAGCATTAGTTTTTTATCTGCTATACTCTCCATACTTTCAAAGTCAATAATGTGTGTCCTACCATTTCATTAGTGGATCGTACCTAGAATATGTGTGTGCCCCTTTTGTGTGATGCTTCTAGAGTGCTGTAAGCAGCTTTTAGGATTAAATGCATTTGTTTTAACAGGCTCTATGTCCCAGTGGTTTCATGAATTCATAAATTTTGAATTATTAGTTTACCTTATGACCTAAAAATTGTCTGGTTTTAGCAATTAATGCCTGAAATTATTTTGCCCTGCAATTGTCATACTTTATAAACTTGTCCCAGTTTAATACACAACTGACTGTGTATTGCTGTCGTGTGCTAATATTTCACAAGTGTTTCATGCATCCTTTAAAAAGAACTACTAACCAGAATAATAAGTAGCTACTCGTTCATTCCGCTTTGTGCTTCACTTATATTTTAGGGCTGCTTCTTGACTTTTCATCTGTCTTTTAATGTAAGCATTAACAACTAAGACTTTCATAAAAGCACTGTATCTTAACTTTTTTGGCCAAAATCAAAAAAGGAAAACTTTAATGAGTGTCCTGGAGACTTGGGTTGTCTTATAGATGGATTCTGGGTTCTGAAGTTTGCAATTAAAGTTCTGTGTTGACCATTTTATCTCAACTGTATGTGCTTTCATGAAGATTCTGCATACAACCAGGCAATCTCTATTTTTTAAAGTTAATTTTGGTTTTTAAAAAAGTGGACTCTTGTGGGATTTGGTCATCAGACATTTTACTGCTTTCTTGGTGTGATGGGAATGCATATTCCTTCTCATATGGGATAAGTATCATTTCTTGTTCCTGCACCCTCCCATTTTTGGTTACTTTTTTGTTGGCATACATTAGTCCAAATAGCTCTACTCCAGTTGAGAGTCTCAGTGGGAAGGACACCGTGCCCTTAGTGACCGTAACACTTTTTATATCAATGGATGGATGGTTGCTGCATAATGATGATCACCAATAAAATACTTTTTGCAAATACAAAATCGGGCCCTTGCTTTGCTCTATTCCTGTCAACAAAAAGGATTTAGCAATAAATGGAGCTTCTCGTCATCTTTTCCCTTTTATTTTAATGGCAGTCTTCTGTTTATCCCTTTCAGGCGCCTCCTTGGCATTATAACAAAAAAAGATATCCTCCGTCATATGGTCCAGACGGCAAACCAAGACCCCGCTTCGGTAATGTTCAACTGAATCCTGTAGATGAGAGAGAGGAGGCGGAAGAGGAAGTCCATTTGTTGAATAGCACAACTCTGTAACCCAAGGGAGTCATCTACTTATATTTCTCCTTTAAACAAAAAAAAGAGAAAGAAGGAAATATAAAAGCCAGGGTTTTGCAACATGGTTTGCAAATAATGCTGGTGGAATGGAGGAATTGTTTGGGGAGGGAAAGGAGAGAGAAGGAAGTGAGTGAGGTATTTCTCCCCGAAGGCCAGCAGCCCACCTCCTGCTCTGCACTGGATGCGCTCAGCTGAGGCCAGGCCCGAAAGTGCAGGCTTGAGCCCGGAGAGGACCCTGGAGCCCCGCAGCGCCGCCTGTTCCTCCAACATCGCGGAGACATCAGCCCCCGTTTCCGGAGGGATGACTTTGAATTGAGCCATCTGTAAGACTGCAGGTCTTGCCCTTTTTTATCAGAACTGTTCTGTTTAATTCATGAGTCGCATAGTTAAACATTATCTTTCTACATTCCGGAAGAGCTTTTCTTTCTCCTCCCCACCCCTCCCTCTGTAACAAGGCCTCTTTAAACTGGTGTGTCCTTTTGAAGCAGTCCTTTCTCATATTGAGATGTACTGTGATTTTACTGAGGTTTCATCACAGGAAGGGAGTGTTGTTTGTGCCACTAACCACGCAGTTTGTACCATCACCGAATGCTTGGAGCTGTCACATGCCCCACCACAAAGGCCAATCGAACTGGTACAATCTTGAAGCGTGAATGAAATCTCTCAGCTTGTGCGCTGCGTGGTTCAGAATCTACAATGAAACGTGACTTGTAAGGATAAAGCTTTCTTTTTGTTTTCTTTCCTCTCAGACTTTATGGATAATGTGACCTGGTCTTACGCATATTTTCTATGTCTGAAACTCCTATGAAACATAAGTACTGTTCAGCATAAGGAAACAAAGTACTGCTGCTCGGACAGTAAAGAGAAGGAAATACTCTGTTTAGCTGTATCTGGTATTAATTGCATGTTTAAACACTGGAATTTTTTTTCTTCTTGAAATTAGATGAGTCATTTTTTTCTTTCCTCAAGATATTTTACTGCTGACACTGAAGAAGAAATGTAATTCATAACTTGCACTAAATGTATATTTCTTTTCCTAAAAATTTACCATTCTTATTTATATTTTTATGGATTAAAATTTATAAAATACAGATCAGTTAATATCTCACTTAAATAATTTTACCTTTTTAATGTGATTTTTATAGACTAATTCAGACTTACAAATATGGAGGTATGAACAAAGTTTACAATGGGAACAAGGGTTTAAGAGAGGTTGTGGTTATTTCTCTATGATCTAATGTGTACGTAAATCTTTTTCTGATCTCTCACTGCCATGCCCTGGATTATATCTTCTGACCTGTCCATTCTGACTCATTAACTGGAAAGTTGAAACACTACAAGTCACTTAGCAGATTAAAAATCAAACGTTAAATAGTGTTTACCTTTATAAAAAAAATAAAATGAAAACAATAAAGTTGCAAAGGTAGCAGATAAAATTGTAATCGGAACGTAACCTTTGAATCTTTGGGTATGTCACATCCAGAAGTGTTCAATGATGTTTTGACTGTTCATAGTGCAAGTTTTTGCAGGATGAATTGAAAACGTATTTGGGATTTTTGTTTTTGGAAATATCTGTCTCAATCATGGTCTTAATTCAGTATCAGCAAAGGCAGTTTACTTGAAGGACTGGCCTAAATATCCTACGATTATGCATTTTTGGTTGGAAAGTTAATTTTTGCAGACATTTTCTGAAACAACTGACAATGCGCTGCTTTTTTGGAAGTGATTTTTCACTTCCTAGTTTTTAATAATATATCCGTAAGACCCCATAAGATCGGTAAGAGCTTGAAGATTTATATGATCATGAAGCCATATTAGAATGACAATTGAAAGCTGGACAAAATTTTAGGAATTTTATGAAACATTCTTAATTTTTCTATCTGCCTAAAGTTGGTCTTTTGTCCAAGACACTTTCCCACTTTGGCAGACTTCAAGTTTTCTTCATGGCCTCTTCAAAGTTTATTTGACCATCCAGAGTGAGATCATTTCTCAACAATAGGTCTGTGCATCTGATCTCCAGCTTGTCTGAAGTGTATTTGCAGGATAGAAGGCGCTGCTAGAGCGTGGACTCCTCAGCACTGGATACTGAACAACTTAATTGTTTGTCTTGTTACAAGCCTTCGAAGGAGAAATAAGCTTCTTTGCAGATAGCTTCATGACTTTAAACTTCACATGGGATTTCATTTTTCATGTTTCCTTTTTGATTCTGGGTCCTCCTTTCATTGTCCATCCTGCTTCAGAGACTGACATTTCAGGGTGAATATTCAAGGTGGATGTTAATTTTCTTCTTGGTATATTTCTATCCCTGATGTGACTATAGCTGAAATACAGGAAAAGTGCCATATTTTTATGCATTCAGTGGTTTTCTTTGGCATTGCTTTCTGTTTCATTTTTCTTTCTGATATGTTGAGGTGTGCCTGCTTTTTAACCAAACTGAAATAGAGGAGACCATGAAATAAATATATGTGCCTGGCTGATTGGCAAATAGTAACTGGAGCACCTTATTTGAGTACCCCTTTTTGAGAAGGTATGATGAGAATGGGCAAGGGTGTCAGCATCTCTTCTTAATAATTGTTTTCAGTTTTGGTTCATGAAGAATGCTTAGTTTGTTAATCTGTGATGTTGCCTAGCACTGTATTTATCTGTTTTTATTTATACTAGTGTAGTAAAGCTGCATATCATTACAGTAAAAATGATTACTGTGATGAGTTAATCAGAATCTCTATTAAAATCTATATGACAATGTGTGGTTTGCCCTTCAATTTTATCTGTAACAGTCCTCCCACTTTTACTGCTCTTTGCAGTGTAGGCCAATATGCCTGGCACATGCAGCCTCAAAGGGGTGATAGGTATAAAGCTTCTCTCAGGTTACAAAGCCATCTCTGTACTTTGCAGGCAAGGAGCAACAAAACAGTAGAGGCTGGATTTAACAGCAGTATATATACATAGAAGCAATAGTATAGAGCCTCCATGTCAGTGAAAGTTGCAGGTTTACAGAAAGATTTAATTTCCATTTACTTTCAAAACCATGATTTTAAAAAAGAAATATATACTATTTGCATGAAGAGAAAAACGTGAATGATTTACATTTTAAAATTTTACCTTGGAAATTTACTAATAACTGCATAAAAGGAGGTGGTAACATTTGAATTGTTAAAAGATTTCAGGAGTCTAATATTAAACTTCTGGTAAAAGAGGAAAGCATGTTACAAAAAGTTTAAGGATAGATCTTTTATCATTCATTTCATTTGATCATTCACTAAGCACTTATTTAAAACTTACTGTGTGCTAGGCATTATTCTGTTCTTGAAGCTTACATTCCAGTAGGGAGACATATCTATATCCATATATGTATCTATATATATGTCAGATGGTGATAAATATCATGAATTCAGCGGATTTTAAAAAATGACTCCTATGTATGTGCCGCATATGGTTGTAGGCATACATAAATCAGACAACATTCTAATGGAGAAAAGTAATGGGGAGGATGCTATTTTTACAGAGGGTGATCAAGGAAGGCCTCAGGGATAGGGAGACATTTGAGCAGAGACGTAAAGGAAGAGAGGGAATGAGATAGTGAGAAGACGAAGCACATGCAGGTGTAGGACGTACCTGACAGACACGGAACATTAAGTAGGTCACTGTGGCTGGAGGGGAAAAAGTATGACGAGAGGCTGGATGAGTAGGAATTTGGCTTTTATCCTGAATAAAATGGGAAGCCAATAAGGCAGAAAGTGACGTAAGCTCTGGTTGCTTTGCCTGGAATAGACTAAGAGGGGGCAGGGGTGGAAGCAGGAGCAACATCCTGCTTTGAAGGCTCTTAGAAGAATCAGCGTCTGTTATGACAGAGCCTAAACCTGACCGGACCTGGTGGAGGCAGTTCCAGTGGCTGGATTCTAGACATTCTGAAGGTGGAAGACAGCATCAGTAATAAGAGAGGAGCAAAGGATGCCACCAAGGTTTTTGGCCTGAGTACAGAATGGAATGACCTGACTGAAGTGGGAAAGATGTCACGAAGGACAGATTGGGGGATATGAACAGAGGAGTTTTGGTTTTGGACATTTAAGTGCCTTTTAGACTTGCAGCTGGGGATGTCAAGTAGGCAGTTGCATAGATGAGACTCAAGTTCAGGAGAAACTCTCAATTCTAGCCTGTGATCTAAAAACTGTGGGAGGTATCCTGGGACGGGTAGAGATCAGCATGGGATTAAGTGGACAGAAAGGACTGAGCATTGATACATTTGTGTTTAGATTTGAGGAGCCAGCAAAAAGGAGCAGCCAGTGAGGTAGGGTGGGTAGTGGTGCATTAAGAAAAGGGCAGTCCCCTAAGCCAAATGAATACTAGTTTTAAGGAGGACCACCTGGTGCGTGTTGCTGATAGGTCAGGTAAGTGAGGACTGAAAATGGCCAATATGGAGGTAACATACGTTTGACCAAAGCAGTTTCACTGGGATCAGGCAAAAGTCTGATTAGGTTTGCCAGAGATGGGAAGGAACTCAGTTATTAGGGTTCTTCCTGAATTTTTCGGAAGAGGGATGTGCAATAAAGGGTATTTTAAGATGCAGGACCTTACAGCTTTTGCTGTCGACGGGAATGTATGAGAGGGAAATTGAGCTGAGAGGTCTTTGAGTAGCTGAAGGGGACGACATGTTGGGCACACAGCTGGACATCAAGCAGCATTCATAGAGATGAGGAATGGGTAGTTAGCATGGTGAGATTTCATGGAAGTTACTTTGATTGCTTCTATTTTCTTAGTGAAATAAACAGGCTGGAGGAGGTGCTGCATGTTTGAGGAAAGATGCAAAAGTAGTAAGATTGGAGGGCAGCAGCATGACCAGCGAGGTTAAAATGAGACCAGTCTTCATGGTTCTGTTCTCTCTGCCATATATACACAAAGGCTCGTGTTACTAAGGCAGCTATGTACTTGGAAAATCTGTTCCTAAAAGCTTAGTGTAACCGTGGAGAGGAGGCATGCTACTCAATTAGATCCCTGACTGGAAGCATTTCCTTTTAATAGTCCACTCGTAGCTTTTATCAAAAACATTAAGTATCTCATAACATCTGTTTAAGGACACAGCTGACAGCATAAGTAACTTTGGGGACTACAAAACATGAGGACTAAACTATATGACATGAGGGCTTTTCTTGAACCTCATGTGAATGGGCAAGAGCTTATAGGTTCTTTAGCCTAATCCACAAAGTTTGCTACTTTGCACTTGGTGGTTTGCTCTGTTTTTCAAGTGAAGGACATTTTGTCAGGTTTAATGAGGTTCAGAATCTGGTAAAACACAGCTATCTCCACAGATCTGTACTGGAAGTCCAATGAATTTGTAATGGGAAACAAATCTAAATTAATGGTATATTGATTTGTATACGACATTATACTATATACTACATCAACATACTATGCAATATTGATTAGTAAATACAGACTGAGTCAAAGAATTGTTTTAAAGAATGTTTCCAAAGGGAGAATATACAGTCACCAGAGATACTGTTAAAATGTAGTTTTGTTAGGTCAGGTCAGGGTCAGGCGCTCTGGGAGAGTGCTGGGCAGTGTCACAGGTGTCCTTCCCATGAGCCTTTCCCACCCTCTGTAAATCCAACCCTTCAAGCTACAGCTGTTATTACCCAAAGCCTCAGAAATACATTCTTAGTTGCCCATGTTAAATACTGAAACAGGACTCTGGGGGGAGAGGATGGTGTGGTTATCCATAGGCATTAGGAACTGACTTCCTGTGACATTAGAGGATAACTTTCTTTCACATGTGATTAGGGCCTCACCATTTAGATGATTTGATTCCCATTTATTTGCACATGAAGGAGAAAACAATAACAAAATGAAAAGGGAACCTACTGTATGAGAGAACATATTCACCAATGATACATTGGATAAAGAGTTAATTTCCAAAGTGTACAAAGAACTCATACAACTCAACACCAGGAAGCAAACAATCCAATTAAAAAAATGGGCAAAGGACCTGAATAGACACTTCTCCAAAGGGGACATATAGATGGCCAAGAGACACATGAGAAAATGCTCAATGTCACTAATCATCAGAGATGCAAATTAAAATGGCAACGAGGTATCACCTCACACCTGCCAGAATGGCTCCATCAATAAATCAACATGTGCTGGCAAGGGTGTGGAGAAAGGGGATCCCTAGTGCAGAGCTTGTGGGAATGCAGACTGGTGCAGCCACTATGGAAAACAGAATGGAGTTTCCTCAAAAAATTTAAAATGGAACTGCCTTTTGACCCAGCGATACCACTTCTGGGAATATATCCTAAGAATCCTGAAACACTGATCAGAAAGAATATATGTACCCCGATGTTCATAGCAGCATTAGTTACAATAGCTAAGATTTGGAAACGGCCCAAGTGCCCATCAGCAGATGAGTGGATAGAAAACTGTTACAGTTATACCATGGAATACTACGCAGCTAAAAAAAGGATCTCTTACTTTTTGGCAGCATGGATCTGGAGAGTATTATGCTAAGCAAAATAAGCCTGTTAGAGAAAGACAAATGTCACATGATCTCACTTATATGTGGAATCTAATGAACAAAATAAAATGACAAAATGGGTTCAGATATATGGATGCATGGAAGAGTAACAGATCTCAGTGGGGGAGGGGATGCTGAGGGGATGGGAAGAGATTAACCAAAGAACATATATGCATAACTCATAGACAATTATATGGGGAAGGCCTGGGG